TGTTTCTCTTCTACCCTTATACTGACTGCCAAGTCAGACGAAAAGTCTTTAAAAGTATGAAGTACGTTTAAATAGAAAACTGTTAGCATAAAGGGAAGGAGGTAGAAAATCCAACTCCTTATTTTATGTTTTACGTTCATCAGATACTGCAGCCACAAATAAACACATGGCTTACAGTTCATGGCAGGAACATCTACAAATATTTACTTGCTCCTGAAAAGCTGTAATTTCTACAAAGAAAAGTACATCCCCTCCTATTAAAAGTTCAAAAAGTGTTCACAGTTATAGTCTTTATCAAGAGATAAACAATTTAAGTATCAGCATAAGCATGAAAATGGATACACAAAGGGATAGAGAAGTATTGTTTAAATGGACAGATCATTCAAGACTTTATATCACCTTTTTCCAAGGTTTAGGGTAAGGGAGTTAGAAATAGATAAACTGTAGAATTTACATAAAGAGGGCAAACTTAAGAGCTGAGGGGAAGAGGAGGTAGGTAAGAATTTAAGGAGGCATCTGTTTGCCTTTTCAGGGAGATTAAGCTTTCATTAAGACAACATTAAAAAACAGAAGTTTACCCTACAGCTCTTAGCTAAAACTTTTGTGTGTGTTTTGTTTGCATGGAGATTTTTTACTATTTTAAGACACGTAAGTGTATGGGTTTTTCTGATTTTTTTTTGGTGTACCATTTCCAAAGTGTTTGGGGATTCATCTGCTTAAAATGTAATTAAATACAGCAAATCAAAGAAATGCAAGCAGCACATTCTGTATGCAGGTACTCATGCAAAACCATTCGTAACACAGACCGTAAGTTCATGTGGAGCAGGAGACAGAGAGGAAAGTACATTTCATGCTACCCATTTTAGAAAGATAATCTGATGATCAACATTACATTTAGGGTAAGTTCTATGGCTTATTTTTGGATCCCAAACCAGGTTCAAATTTTCTAATATGCCATACTGTTACAGTTAATTAAACAGCTCTCTAGAATGATGCAATTCTCATGAGATCATGCAATTCTGATGTCCATCAGATTGTTTTTCTTGTTATTTTTTAAGGGAAAAAAATGCGAGAGAAATGAGGTTTTGGTTCATCTATATGAAAATTAGAAAGGATTTTTCTTTGGCCAAAATGAAGGTTTACATTTAAAAATTCTAATACCAACAAAAAAGTCAGATTAATACATAATTTCTGCATCTATCCAATTAAAGGTATGTGAAAAATTCAACCACAGTTAATATACTACTGTTACAACCCCAGAATTACATTTTAGTTTTAGCAAAATAATTTCAGCAATTGCTGGTTAAAGGTTAACTGGTAAAATGCAGGCACTAAATAGTGGTTGATCAGAAAACAAGGTACTTTCACTGCATGAAAATAATTGTCATATTTTTGCAGGCATCTATCATATCTTCATGCACAGAATAGTCTGTGCATTTGTAGAAAATCTGAGGATGAAAATTCTTTTCTGCACTCTATGGTCCTCCAAATTTTCATACACAGAGGTCACTGCCACAGGGAAAGGTGAAATCGTTCAGAGAGAGTCAAAAAACTTTGCAGGTAGGTAAAAGCATAACATGCAGAACAACTGAAAACTTCCAAAATACCAATCCTCATTTTCAAAAGTATTACCTGATCTTTCATAACCAGACAGAGATACCAAAGAACCACATGAGTGGAGAGCTCTACTGGCAGCATTTCTTGGCATTGTTTGCTACCATTCCTTTATGGCTCTTACCTTCACCACTTTCCATGCCTTCTACAAAAATACCACCACACTGGGGCAGGATCCAGTAGCGACGCCTGTAACGGTCCTGACCAAACATCATTGAACGCAAACAGTGCGAAGCTTCAAATAACTTCTTTCTGTACTGGCTTTGTTGCTATTTTAAAAAGGGAGAGCATTATAAATCAGTGGGGGGAAAAAAAATCTCATCATTACAGAAAATAATATCTGGTTGCCAGCCTGAACAGAAGTTCAAGGGTCAGACAAGGAGGTCTTCTCAGAGATTCGGGATAGTGATGTGTCTGTGTGTTGTGATAGTCTACTCACCATCGCTGCCTTGATGATTTTACTTACAAAGCTCCCTTTAAAAAAAAAATCAATTAAAACACTCCTTGGCTCAGCCTAGGTTTATCAGTTTTCCTCTAAAAACACACTGCAATGGTGCACCTTGTCTTTTTATCCCTGAATGGGGATAAATAAAGCAATGGATCGAAGAAAGATTTCATTGCACAAAAGCAGCTGAAATCCTAACAATTACTCAGCATAAGCAAATGGTAAACAGAATCCTTCCATCTTCTGATGGAAGACTAATGAGATATCTTGACTGTTCATAAAAAATGACAACAATACACAAAAATAAACTGTCTTTGAACTTAACACAGGTCTTTGAGGGGGGCCAACAAGAACTTCAGTACGTTTATTCAGTTCTTGCTCTGCTAAATTGACGCTGCTGGGAGTCAAGTGGAATCCTGGACTGCTAATTTATTGCAATGAACATGAACATGAGAAAAACCAACACAAAATCTTAAATGAAAAATTTTCTAATAGGAACAATAAAAACATGGACCATGAGGACCTCTAATTGCACCATTACATCTTTCTCATTTACACTTCTCTTCCTATTCTATTTCTGCTTCTTCCAAAATGTGAAGCCCAGACAGCTCTGTATCGTCTTGGAGCACAACTGCAGAAATCAGCATGGAAAGGAGGGCATGAGAACCACAATCCATTGTATAAATGAAGCCATTGCTTCTCAAAAAAAAACTTGTCATCACTTTCTAAGATCAACAAACAGGAATATATGAAGTAGATCTGGGTAAAAATTAGATTACTTTTTATTCTCTGAAGTGCAAATATATTATCAACTATTACTATTAACTGCCTTTTGAGTGACCTCCACTTAGTGCCACCAGACTGAACTCACAGTTCAGGTGTCATGAATCCAGTCATCATTCATACTTTCACAAAACAAGAGCAGATACTTATTTCAATTTATATTAAGTTGGAGCATTGAAAATTATGTTTAATATTTTAACTCATGACACCCAGTGATCACATTCGTAGTAGAAAAAACAGTAATGATTTCTCACCTTTGTCAGTTTCTCAATCTGCTTCTCTAGTTCTTCAACACTTACTGCCTGGTCCCCGTCATCCTATAATCACCAAATACACTGTTACACTAAATTTATTTCAGGATGAAATCATACTACTATGTCTTATCATAATTACAGAAAAAAGATATAAAAGAAAAGGAGAGGAAAATACTAAAGAGAAAAAAAAAAAACCAAAAAACTTTCAAACTGTGTGCTTTGTGCAATATATTTCACTAGCAACAACATAACTGAAAAGAGGATACACCTTGAATATTTTTCAATCACCCCAGATGTGGACAAAGCTCATGTTTGGTGAAAACTGGAAGTAACTCAGTTTGTGTATGAACACAGCACTACAGAATTTAATCTTTTTAGATAGACAAAATAAATGTTTCTCATGCATGAAATAATGGCATCTCTTAAAATCCTGTAAGTAAGTCTTTGGTCAGTCCAAAATTTGCATTCTATTTCAATGTCTACATGAAATTGTAGAGCCACTTTAAATTATAACTCTGCTATAACAGTTACAGCATCAATCCTGCTGATTTATGAAGAGGAATGCACTCATGATTAAGGCTCTGATTGCCTTCTTCTTGCCTGTTTAAAAATGAGAGTCTTCCATTATGAGAGTTTTAATTTAGTTGAAGAAAATCTTTGGAGATAATAGTAAGTTTCCAAAAGAATATGGCCAAAATCATTTACACCATAAGATACGGGTCTTGCATTTCTTGGCTCCATAAAAGCGTACCAGAATAAAGCCTTCTGAAATACCTTGGAGAATACAAATGCAATGGAACATCTGGGAGATCAGAAAATTAATTTCTGTACAGTTACTGGAATTCTGTCTATGAAATGCCCAGTGCACCAACACTGGAGACTGTACAAGAGGGAAAAGGATTAAGGGATGGACTTAAGATTAGCAATCTAACTATTATTCTTTTTTAATTCTGAGTTATTTTTAAGAACTTTGAGATGTTTCTCTAAGGTAGTCTCTTAAATTCGTATGAATTCTATTACTTGAAGTAAATCCAGAATAACAGCACAAAGAGTTACTCCTACTCTAGAAATTAAGTGGGCTTCTAATTAAGGGTGTATGCAAAGTTCACATATGTTAGATACATGCATTGTTCAAGCAGTCTTAAACATCTTCAAACCTTGCATGAATGGATCGTTTTCTGGCAAACAGAAAACACCCAGTGCAACACCAAGTGCTTTAAAACGTAGTATTTTCTACTGCTTGTGCCTGTATCAGGTTCTATCCAGTGGAATCCTGTGCATTTCCATTAAAAATCAGCTCAACAAGGTAAAAATCTTTCAGTGATACTTCCTGTATTGGATCCCACACTGATGAACAAAATTGTTTATCATCTTGAGATCAAATACAGTCAGGCAGGGAAGTTGTGAAAAAATACACAGGAAGATCACTCAAGCTTCACAATAGAGGAGGTTAAACGTAACTTTATTTTTCTGTTTTTTAGTTAACAAAATAATAAAAACTAATAAAAAGTTTTAAAACATTGGAAGCATGTTATTCTTCCCTCCTTTTTATGGTAACGTTTTGAGGAAACAGTGCCATATTGCAGAAAAAGAGAAGGAAAACAAGTTTTAGCTTATTTGCAAATGAAGTTTCACTATACTGACAATTCCCCACCTCATCCTCACAAACTTCTGCCTTCTTTCCTTTTTTATCATCTTTGTCCTCTTCATCCTCATCATCCTCATCTGCCTGATCATCGCTGTCATCATCATCATCGTCGTCGTAGTCACTGTCCCCTGCCTTCCGCCGGCGCTTGCGGCCGGGTGTGGGTGTCTCCAAGGAATGGGGCTCCTCGCCTCCGTCCCCGCTCACCGCGGCATCTCTTTTACCCGTTTTCTTGGCATGAATGATTCTAAGCCTTGGAACACATGAGAAAGGGTGAAATAATAGATTATGTCTGTTACCACAAACATACCTCTCTTCTTATGGGACTGAAAGAAAATCATATAATTCAGATTTAAGTTAGAGCTTCTGATCTATCATAACACTGTGTTTTCTCAGTATTTATTGTCACTAGTCAACAGAAAAACTGAGGTTATAAAACCCTTACAACTCGTGGTTCCGTTCTGAATAGACTTTGTTTCTCCCAGGTCAATTTTATTGTGTAACTGTTGAGAAGAAATGAAACACAGGAGGAATATTGAGAAGTCAGCAAAGATGATATAGAAGAAAGAAACATTTCAACTTCTTCATCTTTTATTTAATGCATTTAAAAACATGATGACAAAATACCTGTCTCTGAGCCAGGAAGGAAAAGGCAAAAATCCTCACTTGCAAGTATGAAATTATATGCATTGCATGGCAACAGCAAGGTTGGTAGAGTGTCTTTTTTTTTTTTTCCCTATTTTTATGAACTTCAATTATTATTTAACTTCAGTCCTTTAGCTGAACTTTTTATTCTAAGATACACTTTTTTTCTGGGGAATATTAGTTACCTCAACTACTAAAGATTACTCAAACTGTCATTTTTCCTTTTATGAAAGAAAAGGGAAACTTACATACCAGTTATTATGGTTGTAGTAGACCTCCTTCTTCTATAAAACCCCTATAAGACAAGATTCCACACAGCAAAAATTACAGTTCCACCTATCAGGGAGCTTGCAGGCAAACATGCTGAACCACAGGAGGTGTAAATAGCCAGGCTGAACCAATCACTTATCACGCAGACCAAAAACGCAACTGGACTTAGAAGAGATTCATAAACGTGTAGAAAAGACAAAGATTTTGTAAGAGATGACTGAAGAAGGTAGGATGGGAAAAGCAGAACAGTAACGACAAACACAATTACCAGGACGTAATTTTTCCTTGTCGTACTCCTCTCTCTTCCCATCCTACAGAACAATATTCCATACAGCAAGCGGCTACAAGTACAATGAGTGCTGTCCAAGTATTGGCTCCAGGGAACACTGACAAATGGATCAGCCTTCTAAAATCCTAGATAACCAGAGCCAGTTCTCAGCAGCACAAACTGAAATGCAGGTATCACTGTTCAACTGGGAGCAGCACGTTTTTAGAAAAAGATTGTTAGCAAAGAAATCATCAAGGGGACTTGAAAACTGATGGGCTTTGTTTTTTTTGGTGTGGTTTTGTTGTTGTTTTGGGTTGGGTTTTTTTGCATTGGTTAATCCACTGGAGAATTTATAAAGTTTTATACATTTATTTTTTCCGTATCAAGTGGATGTTTACCTTTTTTAGTGATTTAAAATATCTTCCCCCCCCCC